ATAATGATATACAAAAAGGGATGACTTTGCTTTTCAATGTGACCCATGATCCTAAACATGTTACATATAACAACTCAGTGATTCTTCATAACAGTACAGAAATAAGTACAGTACAGATATTGCCCCCTTTGATAGATAAGAATTTGAGACAGAAATTTTGTCAGTGATTACTACAATAATGCTGCATAACAAGCAACCTCAAACCTTAATGAACTATAACAACAAACACTTATTTTTCTCACATATAAATTCAAGAGTTGGCTAGTGTGGCTCTGTGGGCTGAGTTGCAATCAGCTGGCCAGGCTCCAGGCTGCAGATTGGGTTCAGGTCTGCACAAGAAATCCCTTGTTCTGGGATCAGCAGCTACCAAAGTATGCTCTTCTCATGGTTGATGGAAAAGTGCAAGAGACTAAACCAAATCAGGCAAGTGTAATTAACATCGGTGCTGTATGTTGGAAAGATTCTGATTACATGTCTTGGATAAAGAAAAGTTTATGGTCAAGTCCAGTATCACTGTGATGAAATGGAAGAAAATGAAACTTTGGGGAACCCTACTGAAACTGCTGCTCTGAACCTTCACAGTATTTTCACTCCTCAGAAGAAGCTTAAAGGAACAGATAGAAATTTGGGGACACTTAAAACTCAGCTTTTAGAATTAGATTTCTGAAATTAATTTATACTAAGGGTGGCTCATAAGCAAGTACGAGAATGAAAAAATAATTCTACTCATAGCATTGAAAAGGTATGGTTTAACACATGAAATGTAAATTGGTGTCAAGTTAAACCAAGAGATCCAAAAATGTCAGAAACTTAGTTTCAGGTCTGATTCTGCCACTAGGTGAACTAGTGACCTCAATTTGGTTTCTGGTGTTTTTAAACCTAAGCCTCCTCAAGTGAAAAATGAGGGACAAAACTCCATCTACCTGAGCTCTACGCTTTTAAGTAAATTCAAATTGATTTTGGAGAACTTATTAAAAAATAGGTCTCCTCCTAATATGTTTCTACATCTCATAGGAAATTAGAAATCAATCTAAAATTTGGGTGAAAAACAACTGCTCCAAATCAGTATGACATTTCACAAAATAAACCTCCCACAAATTTTTAATTATAATTAATTTATTTTACACCTTCTGTAACTTATAAAATTTGTCTGAATTTCCTGAAAATGCTAAAATAGCTTCTTCAGCCTGAGTATATAATGTGATTGAAAGTTAGCTTAGTCAAAAATTTCAAACACACCCTTTCAGAGATAGCTATAGTTTACACAAAGTATTATTTGGCTTTTGTGAGCTATTCCACCAAAGGGCAATGAAATATCATTCCAAAAATATCTCAAATATCAAAGAAAGGAAAGGAAGGCCTAGCTAACTTTTTCTCCTTTTTAATTGACAAAGAGGAGTAAAACTATTAGGATTGCTTCACATGTATTGAAGAGCCCTCTGAAAAGGAGAAATATTTGCCCAGTTGCTGTACAAAGCCTAACATCCCACAGGCAGTATGATAGGTATAAATTCTTTAGGTCCTTGTAAACTTTGTCATTCCTATGTGCACATTTTTTTGTTTTGTTTTGTTTTTTTGAGACAGGGTCTCACTATGTAGTTGAGACTGACCTGAAACTCATTATGTAGCCCAGGCTGGTATCGAACTCACAGTGATCCTCCTGCCTCAGCCTCCCAAGTGCTGGGATTACAGGCATGTGCCACCACACCCAGCCTATGTGCACTTATAATATCTGGTTTTGCTGTGCATATAGAAAGTTTCAAATAAAGTTCTATTGGGTAAGTGAATGAATAATTAGTAATTAAATCTCAATAATGTTGTTCTTGTATCCTTATAAATCATATTAAGCAATATATATTGCATGTAATGTAGCCCAACTTCAAACAGAAGATATGGCTCATATATCCTACACAGAACAATCAGATCTCAATAAGGTATAGGGGAATTTTTAAAATGACTGGATACTTGTGGAAAACAATCAGTGTATAAAGCCAAGGTGAAATCAAAGATGGAGAACCAGGTATTTCAAGAAAGCCCCAGACAAACTATTAGGTAGAGTCTCTCTAAAGCAGTGCAGCTAATTTAGGCTTTCATAATTTAAAGGAAATTTGGATAATGTTTTTTGTTATGTTAAAGATATGTTAAATAAAATTCAAGTTAAGTGAAGCAGTTATAAAAATAACCTGAGCTAGTTAATCTGGTTTAGAAATGGCTCATATTTGACATCTCTGGCCAAAGAAGAACACAGAATTTTACTTTCTGTCTACCTTAGAATAAATAAGTATTAAATGTTTTCAAAGGCAAACTATCCCAAGCTTGCTATCACTGTCACTAGTTACTAGGTGGCCTCTCATCCTTTTTCTCCCTCTCTCTATTCATATATGCTATATATTTTCCATAATTGTTCAATAAATAAGTTTATGTCCATTTTATAGGTGAGTTAATTCACACTTGCTCATGGTTGTACAACTTGTAAGTGGCAGAACAGTATTCAGACCTAGGCCTGTCTGTCTCCAAAGTCCTTTTTCATTATACTTCACATCATCAGGGAGTCAGAACACAGTTCTAGCCATCAAAATCTTCCCCATAACCTTATCTGGATAAAAGGCCTGGCTTATGCCTGATTACCTCAGATCTCTTGCCATATTTTGCTTTCACCCACTTGTCAGGTTAGCATGATCAAATTTCACTTTGCTTCCATTTTCTTCCTACAGCTCTTCTTTCTCAGCAGCTCTGGGAACAGCACTAACATCTTGCTGAACATTTAAGCTTCCGTACTATTTGTGGCCACGTCCATTCATCCACTTCAGTCCTACTCTCCTCACCATCTCTCCGCAGTCCACTCCCGCTGGGCCAGCTGTCCAAATATGCCTCACCCCTTCCCACGACGTGAACAACCTCTGCTTGCCGCTTCATCTTCTGGGATTCAAGGCCAACACAGAGCCAAGCCCGTGGTACTTTCTTGGTGTCAATGGCTGGCTCGAGCACTTAAAATGTCCACCGTCTCTACTTCAATGTGGTCCCAGTCAATGTTGCACTTCCTAGAATAACCCTACAACTGGAATGCCTGTATGTCTATAAGACTTTATTCCGTAAGGACAATTTCCCTTTGCTTTCATATGGTGAGCTCATTACCACCCCTCAGAGCATTTCTGGCTCATTATCTGCGGTGGGTATTCCAGACCGTCTCAGTTCTGAGCTGCCCCTTCTCATCCCATCCTCCCACAGTTTCTCCTTCACTGCCTCCTGATTCAAGCTAATATACCTGTATTTAAGATCCCAAAGGAGATTTTCACTTGCTCTTCCCTTTTCATCTCAGCGTATACCTGCTCCACAGCAACTGTTCTCTTCAAAAGAGCTAGACTGGAAACAAATGGAGCTGAACCTAAATCTCACCTTTTATGATTTTATTTGTGGCTAAATGCCTTTGGGCAAATTTCTTAACTTTTTCAAGGTTTAGTTTCCACACATCTAAAATGAAAACACTAAAGCCTATTATAGTTTATGAGATTCTAACATTACATTTTTGTAGTGGGCATGTTTTTAGGGTTTCCCTTTGGTCCTTTCTCCATCTTCTTCCTTGGCTTAAATGAAACGGATTGTTTCTATGTTAGCTGACCATCCCTGTGACAAATATAGGAAATAAATCAACTCTAAAAGAGAAGTCAATTCTGGCTCACAGTTTCAGAATTTTCAGCCCATGGTCAGTGGCTCTGTTGCTGGCACAGTACGTTACGGCAGAAGGAGATGGTAGGGAAGCTGGTCACCTTCTGGCAGCCAGGAAGAAAAAGAAAGGGAAAGGAAGAGAACAGCATTACAATATCCCCTTCAAGGGCACAGCTCTAAGGACCAACTTCTTTCCACTAGACTACCTCCCAGTAATGTTACAGGCCAGTGGCGAAGCCTTTAATATGCAGGCCTCTGAGGAAGAGTTCAGATACAAACTCTAACAGTGTCCATGGGTTGGGACCCACAAGGCTTTGGCCCAGTGCTCTTGACGACAGAGTCTGGCTCATGGTTATGACCAAAGCCCAGCCTTAAGAGTCCACAGCATAGCTCTTCTGATAGTTTCTAGGATAGAAATACTGTCGTTTCTGGGATTGTTTGAAATAAAGAAAAAAAAAAAAAGTCTGGAGTTTTCAGTGGTTATATTTGTCACAAAGAAAGGAGAACTTAAGAATGGAGTTAACACAAAGGAGAGTAAATCTAAACAATGTAAATGGACAGTACCAAGCACACAAGTCCTAGAGTCCTTAGTATTATGAACTGATATACTACATTCTGTCTTAAGTTTGTTTTAGTTGGGCTCCGTCACACACAACTGAAATCTCTGTTTAATAAACCTCCAGCATGGTGCCCAATAGTATACTATGTGTGTGAGATATGCAGTATTAACTTCCCTGGAGTCCCGGGACATACTTGACACCTTTCCTAAATAATACCTTCCTTCTCTACCCATAATTCTACCAGAGTATCACTGCCAAAATATTCCTATCCTTAGCCTTTTCTTCCCCAACACATAGTTTCTTTACCTATTTGCATACTACTTTCAGTATGCCTGATAGTAAAATGTATTAAAAAGCAACTTTATATACAGTTAATCCAGTGAAATCAATCACCGTGTCCTGTCTGTTCTTCCTTCAAAATGTCCCTCCTCCACTGCTGTCTTATAACTCTAACCTAGGCCCACTCAACCTAGATAATTAGACTCATTCATAAATCTGGCCTTTTAAAAAAAGATTTCATCCAAAATTCTGCCACTAAATTCAGCTTCCTAAAATCGTACTTTCAGCATTCTCTTTTGCTACAGAGTCAAAAATATTCCAGATAGGTTTTGAGTAAATTTCAACCTCATTTTAATCTAGTATTGTTCTTTGAAAGGCACCACTTCACTTATCCAATGTAATTTTGGAATCAAATAATATTTTATTCAAATTGAAGTTCTACTTCTTACTATACATATACACTTGGTCAATTTATATCTCTAAGGATTTGGCCCCACTGCTGAAGTCATATCAGTCTTCTTACCAGCCCTTACTTATAATGAGCTCACTTTTTTTGTTATTTCTAACATTATTCAAGTATAATTTATGGACTGTAAAACTCATTTACTTCAAGTTTACAATTCACTGGTTTTTAGTTACTTTACCAAGTTGTGCAACCAACTCAATAATCCAGTTTTAAAATATTTGCATCACTTCAAGAATATCCTTCACGACAATTTGCATCTGACAAATCTGTAAACAGAAAGATATGTTGCAGGTAGGAATAAAGACTTGTCATCTCGGGCATGACATTCTGAAAAACAGAGATTGAAGAGGACATTAGAAAATGGGGGAAAAATCCCCCATTCCTGGGATAAACAGAAATATTACATTTTAAATGAGCTACTTACCAAAACTGATATGTAGTTTTAATGCAACTGTATTCAAATTACTACCAGCATTCTTTACAGAAATAGAAAAAAAAATCCTAAATTTTATATGAAATCAGAAGACACCAAGAACAGTAAAAGCAATCCCAAGCAATAACAGCAAAGCAGGAATCATCACAATCCTGTATATCAAAATACATTATAAAAGGGCTAGGGATTTAGCTCAGTGGTTCTGCTACCTGCCTTGAAAGTGTGAGGTCCCGAATTTGAACCCTGGTACCAAAAAAAAAAAAAAAATTAAAGTTACAGTGATAAAATCATCATGGTACTGGCACAAAACACAAAGATGTAGATCAGATCAGTGGAGGAAAAAATGAGGATTCAGAAACAATCCTAGCCACTTTCAGTCATGTGATCATCAATAAAAGGCCCAGAAACATACACTGAAGAAAAGATAATGTCTTTATCAAATGGTGATAGAAAAACTGGTTATCCACATGAAGAATAATTAATTTAGAACCATATCTGTCAGCCTGTACTAAAATCAAATTAAAATAGATCAAATACTTAGATATAAAAATAGAAACACTGAATCTGCTAGAAGATAAAATGGGTAAAACACTTGAACAGAAGGACATAGGCAAGGACTTTCTAAATAGAGCCCTAATTGCACAAGAAACAACACTAAAAATTAACAAACAGTATTATATAAAATTTAAAAGTTTCTGCCCAGTGAAGTAAATAACCAATAGAGTGAAGAAACAACCTAAAGAACAGAGGAAAAAATTGTCCCCTACTCTGGACAGAGGACTAGTATCTAAAATATGTAACTAATTAGAAAACATTGGACCCCTTTAATCAAGGAATCAGTCAAAAACAGGGAATCAGAGTGAATAAACACTTCTCAAAAGAATAGGTACAAATGGTCAATAAATACATGAAAAAGTATTCATGTTTGGTCTCTAGAAAAATACAAATCAAAACAACGCTGATACTCAATCTTACTCCAGAAAGAATAGCTCTCTACACAAACTCAAAAAAAAAAAAATGGTGAAGTTGTAGGAGGAAAGGAACATTTCTACATTGTTGATGCGATGTAAGCTAGTACAAACCCTAAGGAAAACAACGTTGAAATTTCTCTAAAAGCTAACAATAGAAATTCCATTTGATTCAGCTGTACTCTTTAGAGCATCTTCCTGAAAGAGTTTGACAGTGATGCATGCATAGTCTTGTTTATAGCAGCTCATAATAACTAAATTGGAAGCAGCCTATAGACCCATCAAGAGATGAACAGATAATGAAAATATGGGATATATTCACAATGAAGTACTACTTAGCCATAAAGAATGTAAATTTGAGTCATTTATAGGAAAATGGATGCACCTTGAGACCAAAATGCTAAATGAAAAAAACCTGACAGAGATGCTCAATATTGCAGGGTTTCATTTGTCTGAGAAATCCAAGACTAAAATACTATATAGATAATAGGAAACACAGAGGTAAACCTTGTATAGATGAGAAGAGGTCTGGAGATATGGACAGATGGGAGGGAGTGAGGGAGGAAAAGGAAAGTAAAAATTAAGATCCAACATACATATGTACCAGTTCCAAAGATGATATAATTATTATGTATCACAAACATATACTAATGAGAGAGAAAGAAGGAGAGAGAGAGAGAGAGAGAGAGAGAGAGAGAGAGAGAGAGAGAGAGAATGTTTAACCAAAATAAAAAGAGAATGTTTAACCAAAACAGATCAGCCAGGGATTTAGCTCAGTGGTTCTGCTGCCTGCCTCGCAAACGCACGATCCTGAGTTCGATCCCCGGTACCATAAACTCAAACAAATACTCTAATGTTGAACTTCAGAGTTTGAGGAAAAGAAGAGCAAGTTAAACCCAAAGCTTCTAAAAGGAGGGAAATTATAACAATCAGTGCAAAAGTAAGTTCAACTGAGATAAAAAAGAACACAAAGAATCAATGAATTGAAAAGTTGGTTCTTTGAAAGATTACATAAAATAAACCTTATAAAAACCTTATCAAAACGAGAAAAGGCCCAAATCCATTCAATTAAGAGTGAACAGGGTAAAATCGCTACAGATCCTGCAGAAACCAGAATATCCAACAATAGCTACTTCAAGAACCTGTACTCTAATAAGGTGGAAATTTCAGAAGAAGTGGATGTATTCCTAGGTATATATGAATTACCAAAGCCGAATTAAGGTTTAAAATAATAAATAATTCAACATAAATCAATGAAATTGAAGAAGTAATAAAAAATTACCAATAAAGAAGAGCCCATGTCCTGAGAGATTCACTGTTGAATTTTACAAGAACTTTAGAGAAGATCTAATGCCATTACTTCTCAAACTCTTTAATGAAATTGAAAGGGAAGCAATATTTCTAAAGTCATTCCTGGAAGCAATCATTACCTTCATAACAAAACCAGAGAAGGATACAACCAAAAAACATAGCTACAGGCCAATAGATAGCTATTCGCCAATCAGTGATTGTCCAATCAATGAGGCCAATCCTCATTGAGTTTATTGGTACACTTTAGGTATACAGTATAGTTACATTCATTATTGGGATCTTGTACCTTTACATGACAGGTCTTGGTTCTCATTTTTTTCCCTTGTCCCTGCCCTCCTTCACCCACTCCTCCCCTCCCCATTTGCAAACATTTTATTGCCATTTTTTCATTTTCTTCTATTTGTTTCCTTTCCCTTATTACCTTTCCCATACCCTTCCCACTTTCCCTACACCTTTAGCCCTTTTCTTCCTATTTCACATTGTCAATTATCTCATTAGGATCTTATGTACTATTACAGTTTATTCACACCAGAGAAACTATTCAGTATTTACACATGTGTGACTTATTTATTTCACACAGGAGTACCTCAATATGTATCCATTTTCCTATGAATGAATCTAATTTCTCATTCTTCATGGCTACTCAGCCATAAAGGTACAATATCCCAATAATGAATGTAACCGTACTGTATACCTAAAATGTACCAATAAACGCAATGAAGAATAAATAAATAAATAAGAAAATCCACATCTTCTTTATCCAGTTTCCAACTGAGGAGCAAATGGGCTGTATCCAAGTTTTAGCTATTACAAGCTATGCTGCTATAAACATAGGTGTGCACTCCCACCAACAATGGAAAAGGGTTCCTTTCTCCCCACAACCCCACCAACATTTGTTGTTGTGTGATTTCCTGATAGCAGCTATTCTTTGTGGGGTGAGGTGGAATCTCAGTGTTGTTTTCATCTGCATCTCTGGAATGACCAGTGATGTGGAACATTTTTTCATATATTTACTTGCTGCTTTTACTTCCTTGTCTAAGAAATGTCTGTTCATTTCAGATGCCCATTTTTGAATTGGGTCTTTATATTTGGGGGGACTGTTTTGAGTTCTTTATATATTCTATATGAATGCACAGTGATGTGGAACATTTTTTCATATATTTACTTGCTGCTTTCTCTTCCTTGTCTAAGAAATGTCTGTTCATTTCAGATGCCCATTTTTGAATTGGGTCTTTATATTTGGGGGGACTGTTTTGAGTTCTTTATATATTCTATATAATAGTCCTTTGTCTGAGGAGCAGCTGGTAAAAATTTTTTTCCCACATTATAGGTTTTCTCTTAGTTTTGCTGATGTTTTCTTTTGCAGTGCAGAAGCATTTTAATAAGATGAGATCCCAGTTGTTGATTCTTTCTGCTAGTTCCCATGCTACTGAGGATTTGTTCATAAAGTCTTTTCCTATGTCAATGTCTTCCAGAGTTCTGCCTAACTTATCTTCCAGCAAGTTTAGTTTTTCTTTAATCCACTTGGATTTTACTTTAGTGCATGGTGGAAGATAAGGGTCTAGTTTTAACCTTTGACAGGTGGAGATCCAGTTTTTCCAACACCATTTATTAAAAAGGCTATCTTTCCTCCAGTGGGGATGGTCAGCCGCTTTGTCAAAGATGACATAGCTGAGTACATCTGGAGTTGTTTTTGTGTCTTCCAATCTGTTCCACTGATCCTCAGGTCTGTTTCTTTGACAGTATCACGCTGTTTTTATCACAGTGGCTTTGTAGTATAATTTCAAATTAAGAATTGTTATACCCTCTGCCATGTCTCTGTTGACTAGGATGGCTTTTGCTATTCTAGGTCTCTTGTGCTTCCAAATGAATTTTTGGATTCTTTTTTCTAGTTCTGTGAAATGCAGTGTTGGAATTAAAATTGGCATTGCGTTGAATCTGTATAGCAGTTTTGGTAGTATGGCCATTCTCACTATGTTGATTCTTCCTACCCAGGAGAAGGGGATATCTTTCCATTTTCTTATGTCCTCTTTGATCTCTTTTTTTCAGAGTGCTGTAGTTATCAGTGTAGAGGTCTTTTTCTTCTTTTGTCAGATTGATTCCTAGATACTTCATTATTTTGGATCCTATTGTGAAAGGAATTGTTTCCCTAATTTCTCTCTCAGTGAGTCTGTTATTTATGTAAAAGAAGGCTATTGATTTTGGGGTGTTGACCTTGTACCCAGCTACTCTGCTAAAAGTGTCAATTAAGTCTAGAAGTCTTTTGGTAGAGGTTTTGGTCTTCAATGTAGAGCATCATAGCATCAGCAAATAATGACACTTTAACTTCTTCCTTTCCTATCTTCATTGCTTTAATTTCTTTCTCTTGTCTAATTGCTATGGCTAATGTTTCCAGAACTATATTGAAGAGGAGTGGTGATAGTGGGCATCCTTGTCTTGTTCCTGATTTTAACATGAAGGTTTTCAATTTTTGAGGCCACTCTTCTTAATGAGCGTAGATGCAAAAATCCTCAATAAGATACTGGCAAAGAGAATGCAACAAATCATCAAAAATATTATATTCTCAAATCAACAAGTAGGATCTCATCTTATTAAAAAGCTTCTGCATTGCAAAA